CCCCCGAATCAGCCAGGAAGTGTCGGGAGGAGGAACGGCGAAGGAGAGTGCTGGCAACACAAGGGCAAGCCGGGAGTGGCGGAGAGCGGGGTGCTGGCGATCGAACCTCCAATCAGCCACGGGCGGGACCAGAGCCAGCGAACAGCATTCACATACAGGTGGCGATATCCGAAGCATACCCCCACCAACCATCGAATCTCCTGCATCGATGGATGGGGAAGGGGAAGGTGTGTTCGGATTTCGCCGCGTGTTCGACGAATTATGAACCCTGCCCCCGCCGCCCATGAGTTGCCTGAACCCTTGATCGGCGAGGATGGGGTTCAGATCTCGCCGCCGAGCAAAAATACGGGGCAAGAGAGGGCAGGGCGTGCAGAGGAAGACAACCCCCCCACACCAGAACTGAGAACGGCCCCTCGCAGCCCCAGAAGGAGGCAGGAGGCCACTCGGGGAAGAAGAGCAAGAAGGAGAGAGAAGCAGGAGGAAAAAGACTCCTCCTCCTCTTCCTCCTCCTCCTTCTCCTCCCCCTCTTCCTCCTCCTCCTCCTCCTCCTCCTTCTCCTCCTCCTCCTCCTCCTCCTCCTCCTCCTTCCCCTCCTCCCCAGATCCCGTTGCCGCGCGCGAGTGCACCAGGACCCGAGAACTGCCGAAGGAATTCGCGATTCCGCGCCGCCAGGCATGCTGACAGGCGCGGTATAGCATGCGAACCTAACACCTGGCCTCTAACAGGGGATATGTTGACCTCTATACAGGGCGTTGTGGAGTTTGCGAACCCAGAGATCCAACGTATTGAAAAAACAGGACGGACATGTTCCGCAACTTTCGGCCTGTGGAGGCCCTCGTCGGGCTCCAGGATCGTCAAGAGACGGCTCAGGATGAAAAACTGGTCCCGGGGAATTGGCCAAGACTTCCAGGGAGCGCGTTTTGAAAAGATCACGGCGTCGGAGCTCTGTGAACGAACCCGAAAGTTGGCGCCCAGCGTGTCTCGGCGGGCAGTTCCAGGCGTTCGCCCGGTGCCCGCCTGTGGGCTCCTGTGGGGCGCCTGGCGCGCTGGCTCCCGTTTTTTTATTTTATTTTTTCTGTCAGGGGGTTCAGCCAGCTCGTATCCCATGGATTCGGTGATGAGCCTGTTTTCCACCACCACCACCATAAGTTGGGGGGGGAAGGAGGTGGAAGACGAGGAGGAGGAGGAGGAGGAGGAGGAGGAGGACGAACAGGGGTGCAGGAGGAAAAGGAGAAGGAGGAGAAAGAGGGGGAGGAGGAGGAGGAGGAGGACGAATAGGGGGAGCAGGAGGAAGAGGAGAAGGAGGAGAAAGAGGAGGAGGAGGAGGAGGAGGAGGAGGAGGAAGAGGAGGAGGGCTCCCTCTCCCTCCAACTCATGGTGGTTGTGGTGGAAAACAGGCCCATCGTATTCCTTGGGGGAAAGAGCCAGATCCCCGAATCAGCACGGGGCAACTCGGGTCAGGGCTAACTCGGGTTCGCTTCTCGGGAATCCGAACCCGTGTTGCCCTGGGCCCGAGTTACCCCTGATGATTCGGGCGTCCAGAGCCCCGAATCATCAGGGGATAACTCGGGTCAGGGCTAACTCGGGTTTGTCGTTCGGGAATCCAAGCCCGAGTTACCCACGGCCCGAGTTACCCCGGATGACTCGGGCGCCCAAAAAAGATCCACACCCTGCCGACTCTGGACTTAATCCTCCCCCATCACATGTTTGTTCATATGTCGCCGACACGATCGCTCATTCAGTGTATCAAATACTGCGCTCCCCGGCCACCCTGTATCGCCCCTCTCCTTGTCACCCCTGTCTAATCACCGAGTGAGGTGCGCACTCGTTGACAAAACAAACGCGTGTTGCAAAAATTGTACGCGCAACGCGTCAAAACTTACGGGGTGCAAGATGTGTAGCGTAAGATATGGTGTGTACTTCACCTGTGCGGTGCAGGCTGTGTGGTGCAAGCTATGTAGTGAAACACCCACCTTGCAGAAACAGAAGTCGTCAACTCCACTGCTCGCGCAGTCATCTCATCACCCCACCCGCTGCTCTGACGACCGAATGGCACATGACGGCGCCGATGCGAATGACGACGATGACAATGATGATGTCCATGAGCCGGTGATGGAGGTGATTCGCGGATGGTGACGGCAATGGCGACGATTAACGATGACGATAAAGGTCGTGATGCAGTGGCGCAAAGCTGGTTTATGGTGAGGAAGTGCGCGCGCGGAAATGTACGAGATAAGGCAGGGCGGTTGTGAAAAAAAAGTCTGCGACGTGTTCAACTGCTTTCTGATAGCTATACCATGGCACGCTTCGAGGACCAATCATGTAGGAAAAGTTTCGCCACGCAGGCGCCGAAATTGAAATACACGCCTCACGTCTTGCACGGCACACAGTCGTGATCGAAACAGAGGCACGCACAACTGCCATGCTGAAGCCGCACGACCCCTGCACGCTCTGGCTTGCTATCTTGATTCCACATTACCGCTTGTCCAGCATACGGAACCATACCATCCCAGCCAGGCCGGTATCGACACCCTCTCGGCACCCTTGCACAATGAACCCACGCGGTACACATTCGCTCATGCAACACACGCGATTGGTAACATTCCTAGTCCATTGATGAAATACCAACTATTCGCGCACGCCCTCTCGCGGGAGCATTTCAAAACCATTTCGAAACAGAGCGTGCTAACTATTTCCAAATTGAGTTTCTCAAACATAAAGGAAAGACAAACGCGTTTCCAATACGACGACTTCCCAAATATGTTTGCGCGCGCGGGCTAAAACAACGAATTCACAATCGGCAGCCTGCGCATGCCGGACTCATTCAGCACGGGTCGCGTATTTGCCAATCTTGGCGGCGCGCACAAAGGGGGTGGGGGGAAAGGGGGTTCTTAGAAGGAGGCTGCTTCTTAGAAGGCGCTGGCCTTACATTTACAGGTAAGGCCCGCGCCTTCTAAGGAGCAGGGGTGCTTCTAAGAAGCCCTCCCCCTTCCCCCCACCCCCCTCTGCGCGTGGCCGACACGAGGTGCAGATTTTCCCGCCGGCCCAATCCAACATGGCAGCGTGGGCCACACGAAAGCACACCCGCGAGCGCAAGCAGAAGCCATTCAACATCGACCGTTTCAGATAACACCCAGCGGTGAACTCTTTGATAACCAATTCCCAGCACAAAATTTGCACGGAGGGATTCATATTTATTCTGTATGGAACTGGGCCTGTCTTGCGGTCTGGCGGCTAGGTTGTCGCTGTCGCCGCTCCGTCGCCGCCTCGTCGCCGCCCCGTCGCCGCCGGTCGTCTGGGCCTGCGTGGCGGTCTGGCGGCTAAGGTTGTCGCGTCGCCAACCAGTCTCCGACTCGTCGCTCCCCGTCGTCTGGGCCTGCGCGGCGGTCTGGCGACGATGTTGTCGCCGTCGCCGCCCCGCCGCCGCTTAGTCGCTCCCCGTCGTCTGGGCCTGTGTGGCGGTCTGGCGGCTATGTTGTCCCCATCTCCGCCCCGTCGCCGCCCGTCGTCTGGGCCTGTGTGGCAGTCTGGCGTATACATTGTCACCGTCGCCGTCCCGTCGACGCCTCGTCGCTGCCCCTTTGCCGCCACACTTGTTCGACCACTAATTCTGCACCACATAAAGATGGAACCATGCCGGATACACAAGACACGGGCATGCACGTTCCAAAATGACATCTGCTTGATTCTCTGCGAGCTCACTTTTCTCATCGTCCTCATCAGCGCGATCGTAATCTTTATCACCGACGTCAGTTTTGCCATCGTCGTCATCAACACCAACGTCCCCATCACCAGCACAAGATTTGCCGCTATCATCAACACCAACATCGCCATCATCATCACCGTCGTCGTCAACATCACAGCTCGCCTGCCCGAGTCACGGATGTGCATAATAAAGGCCTTTGCACCGTTTCGCCAGTTGAAGACGTTAAGATTGGAGGGATGCTTCCTCAAGCCTTGCAGGTGGCGCATGCGAAATCTTCAAACACAAATTGCAACGCATGCCGTGCACATCTAGAAAGCAACCAGCCACTGTCTAGAGTCTGCGCTGACAAACGTGGCCGTATTGGTTGGCAATGCGTTTTACTTTCCAAGCTTCATAATCGGATGTCCTTCCACATGCAGGCTTCGAAGGCCGAAACAACAGGGCCAAAGGCGGCCCAAGACGGCCCCAAAAGAGCCCCAAGCTGGCCCAAGAGGACCTTCCGAGAAGCCCAAGACAGCCCACGAAGGCCCCAAGACGGCCCGAGAGGACCCCAAGACGGCCCAACGGCGGCCCAATGAAGTGGAGACGAGAGATGTCTGATGCGACGGCCTTCTAAGCGGTGCTCGAAGGGTCACCACACAGGGTGCTTTGCTCGGACGGTGGCGAATTCGCCGTAGGCACCTTTCGGGCCGGGCGAAAGGGGGGGATATCAAAGGAGGGGGTGAGAATCAGCTCACCGGAGGCGCCTATTTATCGAGGAATGGGCCCCTCGGTGGGGCCGAAACCAGCTGCATGCAGCAGATTTCGTAACCCACCCTTTCCCTATCCTCCCTTTTCGTCCGGCCCGAACCTTTGTACAGACTCTCGTGGCGTAGGACGAGCTTCGACTAGACGGATACGCCGATGGGATCAGCAACGGGCAGAAAAGCAACCACGCAGGCGTGGTCAGATCTGGGCCAGGCCGACCGTGACGCCTAGCGGCTCGCACTGCAACTCCAGACCGCGCTGGCTAGAGCAGGAGATCGTCGAGAGCATGAGCGGTGACCTGGCCAGACCCTGCATGGAGCTTGCGAGGGCGAGATGCTGCCTTGCGTGCACCGCGGCGAGCTCCTTTACGCCACGAAGATATGTACGCAGACACCCTCCGACGAATTTGGCGTGCACCTTCAGGCAGGGCGGCGTAGAAAGTCGTCACCCTGCCCTCCAAGTGGTGCTTTCTACACCGCCACCCTCCCCTGGGGCCCAGGAAAAAAACACTGGAGGGTGCCTGTGTCTATCTGTTCAGGCGGATCCTTCAGCAGGCTCTGCTTCTTCTCCTCCAGCTGCTGGTAGACGCCCACGAAGCCCGGGCCCGAGGCCTGCGCCGCTGCCGGCACGGACGCTGGAGGGCTGCACCACACGCCCGGAGCATGGTCCGTCCCGAGCAGGCCCTGCCTGGCGGTGTGCAGGAGCTGACCGCCTGGAGGACGAGGAGGAGGAGGCGGAGGAGGAGGCGGAGGAGGAGGTGGAGGAGGAGGAGGGGGAGGAGGAGGAGGAGGAGGAGGAGGAGGGGAGGAGGAGGAGAGGGCAGGAGGAGAAGGGGGAGGAGGAGGAGGAGGAGGAGGAGGGGAGGAGGAGGAGGAGGAGGAGGGAGGAGGAGGAGGAGGAGAGGAGGAGAGGAGGAGGAGGAGGAGGAGGAGGAGGAGGAGGGCTGCCTGGTCCCGGCAAGGGGGGCACCTCGCTCGTCGGGCCCGAGGCGGGCCGCCCCGCGGCGGCCAGCAGCCCGGGCGGCGGCGGCACGCGCGCGGCCAGCCGCGCCCCCGCCGCGGCGGCGCCGCGCTGCTCCTCCGCGGGTGCGGGGGCGCGTGCCTCGAGGCCGGCGGCCGCTGGGGCCTCTGGGCCCGGCGGGTGCCCCGGGCGGCGGTGCCCTCCATGCTCCTCGACCGCCTCCCGCGGCAGCCCACGGCTCGCCGATGGTTGAGGGGCCGATTTTCCACCGCCACCACCACCATGAGCTGGAGGGGGAGGGGGTCCTCCTCCTCGTCGTCCTCCTCCTCCTCCTCCTCCTTCCTCCTCCTCAGGCGCAGGCCACGAGTTCGGGTCGCCTCATCTTCACGCAGGCGCAGCGCTTCTCACATCCTGGGCAGAGACATCAACAGAGTGCAAGAACGGCGGCATCGAGTGCATCTGCCTGGCCCTGCGCAGGTTGAACGAGGCTCGCGAGGCGGGCGGTCCAAACGACTTCGAGGATTGGTGCGACACGCGTCGGGCCAGCGAACTACAACACAAGCAAGGATTTCAGCCGACGGCCAGATTGGCATGCAACTTCGACGGGCACTGGCCAGCCGGGAAGAATCTCGACGAGGAACAGGAGGTTGCGAAAGGCAAATGCCACCCGTAGGAACTCGACACGGGCACTGTGAACAGGCTGCTCACATTATGTTTGAGGGCAGCGGGAATCCGGAAGATGCCTGGCAAGACACCGATCGGGGGGCTCGCGCACGGCATCAGGGGGAAGCAGTGAGTCAACGTAGAGAGAGAGAGAGAGCAGATCAGGAGGCAGTCTCACGTTTAGAAGCGATAGGACAGCAGCAGCGTTCTAACAGCAACCTCATCCAGGGTTCGGACGCCGCGACACGGACAAACCTCACTCGTTCGGCCTTGGAGCCTCTCTCCCTCTCGTACCTTCGTTCGCTCAGCTCTCGACCCTGGAAGGATGGGCTGGCAGATTTACGACTGCGTATTTCACTTCGAGAAAACTCTCTCAAGTAAGTTTTGGAGGCACCCCCGCGCCAGGGTGCCACTGCCTGCGCTGCACGCGCACTGGCGGCGGCGCCAGGCCTTGCGCTCCCAGTGAACTCGAGGGCCCCCTGGAAAGTTCAAGCCAGGCCCAGCGGTGTCCTCACGCTTTCTTAAAGAGGTTGTGGGTTCGGACGTCGATGCAGATGCGAAAACTCCTCCTCCTCCTCCTCCTCCTCCTCCTCCTCCTCCTCCTCCTCCTTCCCCCCTCCAACTTGTGGTGGTGGTGGTGGTGGTGGTGGTGGTGGCGGTGGTGGTGGCGGTGGTGGAAAGCAGGCCCATCAGATGTTGGCACCTGGGGGCTCCACGGCGGCCGCGCGCCCCCGGGCTGCCCGAGGGCCCGCAGCGTCTCCCGGGCCTCCGGCGGCAGCCCGGCCCAGGAGCCGCGCGGCAGGAAGAGCGGCGCGGGCGGGGGGCCCGCCCGCGGGCCGAGGGCAGGCCGCGCGAAGTGCGCGACGCTGTTCGCGTAGCCCTGCACCTAGGAGGAGGAGGAGGAGGAGGAGGAGGAGGAGGAGGAGGAGGAGGAGGAGGAGGAGGAGGAGGAGGAGGAGGAGGGGGAGGGGAAGGAGAAGGAGCCTGAGGAGGAGGGAGCAAGGGAGGGCGACAGCAGCACCAGCATGGGCGAGGAGGTGCGAGGAGGCAGGGGGGAGCTCCCCCTGGTGGTGTGGTCCCCCCCCCCTCGCTCGAGGCACCCCCAGCCTCCAGGTCGGAGGGGCATCGTGGACCTCCTCGCTGGCGGTGGGCCCCCTGGTGGTGTTGGTATCGCTTCTCCTCCCTCCGAGCACCGCGGCAGGATGTATGCGCAACGGCTTGCCCTGGTTCCTCATCTCCGTGTCCATGTACGCCCCGTCGAACTTCTGGATGAACGCCAAGGCGTGGGGCGTCTCCGTGAAGCCGATGAAGCCGTATCCAACGTTCTTGCCCTTTCTGTTATCGAAGGGTATGTAGATGAAGTCCACCAGCTCCATGAAGCCACAGCGCGAGACGTCGGCCAAGAAGACCAGCTGCGTGTAGTGCCGCGGTATCTGGCGGAGCATCAACGTGAACAGGCCAGTCTCCAAGCATGCATCGGGCTCTGGCCTGGCGCGGCGCTGCTTATTTCGAAGTCTCGAGCTCTTGCGAGTGGGTCCCGACGCGATCGCGCACGGGGAAGCCAAGTGATCCACCGTCCTCGCCGGCATCGGTTGCGTCGACCGCTGGGGTTTGCGTGCGCATTGGCCGCCCGAGCTCTCGTCGCTGTTCCGAGCGTCGCGGAGCGTCGCCAATGACGCCTCGTACCCGCTCGAGCCTCCCGACGAAGAAGCCTTCCCGTTAGTGGAGCCGTTGCAGGCGCCACCGTCACCGCTGGCCTCTGTTTCCACGCTGGTCCTATCCTCCTTCTCTGTGCTGGTCGAGTCCGAGGTCACGTTGTGAATCGAGCCAAGCTCGTTAGCAGAGGTCGGGTCAAAGTTCTGGCGTGCGTCACCTGCGGCTGCCAACCTGGTGTGCGACAGAGAGTACAGGAAGGTGTCCATTGAATGGTGGGATCTTTCCACTTTGGCAGAAAAGCAACTCCTGCCCGATATGTGCGCCATGTCGAATCAATCCGGACTGGCGGGATTGATGTATCGCCTGTATTGGTGTATAGCCTGTCTCCAACTTGAGCCAAAACGGCTGTGCAGGAGAAAGAGAGCAGACTGAGACAACCGCGATCCCTTCCCAGATACGGGCATCTGCGTGTTAGTGACACCTCTTTGCCTTGTGTTCCACAGGTCTGGTTCACGCATCATCGATTCCATCTGCCCAGACTCACTCGCACTCAGACTCACTGACGTGCAGACTAGGTCATACCCAGACCCACTCATACTCAGAGTGGCTGGTCCTGGACTGTACTACTTGTAGCCCGACTCCCTCACACTCTGCCTCATTCGCTCAGTCTTCCGGAGACGCAGACACAACCAAGGTAAAATACACGGATGGCCAGATTCACTCATACCCAAACTCCGTTCTACTCAGAGACACTCATGCTCAGACATGCTCACACTCAAACCCACTCACGCTCAGACCCATTCCTACACCGACACTTGTTGCGTCGGCGGCGAGGCAGGGGTCGTCTGCGCTAGCGGACGAACCTAAACGGGGGTGCCCTTCGAGTGAATTGCGCCACCATGCAGGAGGGTGAGACCTACACCGACACACTCGAGCTCGCCATGATGACCGCGACGTAGCAGGTGTGGCACTCGGACCTCCGAAGGGGGTTCGACCTGGGGTGGTGCACGGGCACGCCCGCACCCAGGTTGGTAGAACCTCCCTAATCGAACGCGTGTGTCCCTCCCAGAAGCCCAGGATCACCGCGACGTAGCAGACATGGCGTCTGAGCCTCTCAAGGGAGGCTCGGCCTTGGGAGCTGCATGGCCCCCTTCGTGGCCAGATTGGATATGACTCCACAAGTAGAACACCTTTCTTGCTTTATGGGCGACACGTGTCTCTTTCCATCGGCTACACGCACGAGTGGCCCTGGGTAAAAATCACCGTTGCCGCGCGGCTTTGTGGGGGCCGCGAGGGGGCCCAGCACAAGCGCGCAAGACGCTACTATCGCATCGCGATCGGCGATCGGGGACCCAATTGGGCCCGCACCAAAGGTCACTCTGGCGAAAGGTCACCCTTACGCCTAGTCGATTTCAGAGCCCGATGGCGACTGCGGAGCAGCAGGCATGACATCTCTCGGGAAGGGCCGGTGTGCGGCGTTGCACGGGCTCGGGGAACGGCGCGAGCCGTCGGGGAAACGCGCGGCGTTCTCTAATACCTCGCCTTGGGGTTTGAATACTGCTGCATATGCTATGCCGATTCTTTTCTACGGGGGTCCAGGCGGCTGCGCCGCCCGCGACGCCGTCGAGATGACATATAATTACAGGATCGAGTTGTCAATGATGGGAAGGATGCCTATCGGGCAGCAATGCACGCATCAGACCAGCACGCCTTGAGCCCCTCGTGTACACATACACATATTCACGTATGTGCGGCAGATCCCGTTTCCTGGGCGCTTGCTTGGACCAAAGCCGCTTGACACATCGGAGCTGGCCCCCTACCCAAACATGTGGCGCCCCTGGAGAAACGCCCCCCCCCCCCCCTCCCCTCCCCAGGCATCGGCCTCTCTAACCGGGGGGGGCCCTTCAGGGGGGGAGGGGGAGGGTCCGCACCTGATCGAATCCTGGATTACCACGGTTGAATTTCAATGGCGTCGCACTCGGGTTCGATCCAGGTCTACCAGAAGCCCAACATAGCTGAATCGAAATCCAACTGATTCTTACTAAAGCTCGGTCCAGCTCTAAAAGCATCCTAGTATAGCTGGGTCCACCTTTACTAGCATCCGGGTAGGGCTACATCATCCGAGTCAGACTACATCTGGCCGAAACGGTCTCCTACGTTTGCTGACTCGAGCTCTGACTGACTCCTAAAATACTTGGATCCAACTTTTAGGGCCATCCTAGTCAGGCTCGGGCCCACTGTCTTATAATCGCACGGTTGCTGGATCCAGCTTTGATTGAATACACTTCGCACAATGCGTGGAACATTTTTCAAATGAAAAACAAGAGGGGTCTGGGGGGATCGATTCTAAGCTCTCGTGGTCTCGACTCGCTCCTGGGAGGAGGAGGAGGAGGAGGAGGAGGAGGAGGAGGAGGAGGAGGAGGAGGAGGAGGGGGAGGGGGAGGAGGAGGGGGAGGAGGAGGAGGAGGAGCGCAGAGAGGAGCTGCGTGGGCATGCGCGAGAAGTCGGTGGCGCCCGCCTTCCCTTCTGCACGGGCCAGGCCGACGAGGGGCTGCGGCCCCACGGGCGGCCGCCTCGGGAACGCAGCTGGCGCTGCCGATGGTGCCTCTGCGCTCCTCGCGAGCACAGAGGAGCAGGAGGCCGTTCACGTCACCTAGTAAAACAGGGCTCGGATCGGGATAAATCGCTCCAGAGCGTTCCGGAGCGCTCTCAGAGCGTTCCGGAACGCTCTGGGGAGCGGCCGCGGCGCCCAATACGTCCTCCAAACCCGCCGATTCTCAGAGATCTCGAGTTATTCCGATCCGATGTTGTCCCGATCTTCGCGTCGTTTTACCTTGTAAAGCGTCTGGGCAGCCCAGGCATGATCGCGTCGTAAAGACAACCAGGACGGTGGGCTTTTGTGCCCATCTTCGGCCCCGCCCCCGCCGGGCCTCGGGAACATCAAACAACGACTTAGGACGAAAATCGGGGGGAAAAAAAACCTACCTCGCTTTTGACCACCCTCGCTTCCAAGAGATACCAAACGATGCCAAATTGCGGCCTGTACTGGTCAGGCCGCTTGACGAGGAGGCGCGTGGTATGGTTTGGTTTTGCCTGGAAGCAAAAGCGGGGGAGGTAATTCACGCTCCGGTCCCGGGGAAAAGGGCCGGGACTTCCAGGGACGCCGTCCTGAAACAATCAGGACGTCGCAGGTCAGGGTTCACGTCGCCTGGAAAAGCGTCTGGACAGTCTCAATCGTCGAAGGCATCGCGGGAGGAGGGGCCATCGGCTCCGGCACCTTCCCAGAGAATGTGGCATCTCTCACGAAGGCGCCGACAGGGGGTCGAAATCCGCGTGCCAGGCCCACATGCCATGCAAGTCTGGCAAGGCAGCGGGATGCTGGATGAGCGTCTCGCGACGTCGCTTGCACAAGCTCTGCGGGACGGCGCTCTACTGCGGCCGAGCAGGATCTTGAAGCGCCCGCCTGCCCTCCCTGCGTCGTCACGGGGGGCGACGCAGGCGGCGCAAGCTGTCCTGGCGGGCAGGGCGTTCAGGCACAGAGCGCCCCCGCACGCCAGAGCTGTACAGACAGCATGCCACACTCGTGCATGGAAAAGCGCCGCCGCGCGTGAGGCGGGCTTGAGAAAGAGCCTGGTTACAATGCTATTGGCCAGGAGCAATCCTGTGCCGCTACACCCTGCGAAATGCTTAAGAATTCATGGATTAAGAAATTCATAGCCTCAGAATTTGAATTAAAGCCCACAGATTCTATTAAACATTTAGGAATTACATTGAAACAATAAGAATAATCGAGACTCTGGCCGAAACCTTACCTTTTCTTAAGCATCGCCCAGGGTGTACAGCTCGTGGCAGCCTGCGGCGGCGGCCTGGGCAGAGGCCGGGCAGGTGCTCTGCGGCGCCGGGCGAGCCGTGCTGGGTGTCTGCCCCCGCCGGGCAGGCCGCTCGCTGCTTCCGGGCTGCCCCTCGGCATCCCGGTCTGGCCATCCTGGAGCGATCTCGCTGCGGAGGGGGCTCAAAGGGCCAGTGCAGTCCCTATGTGAAGGGGCCCCAGGACACACAAATAAATACACACACATGAAAATTATCCCGGCAAAGCAACCTAACAGCGATGTCTAGAAACATATCTGGAAGCATTCCTCTTAAGATTCAGATCAGAATCCAGTTCTAGAATTCTGCTGTTCTCGCAGTCGCAGTCGCATTCGCGATGACAGTCGCAGCGGCAACGGCAGTCACAGTCACAGCCTCAGCCTCGGCCTGCCTCAGCATCAGCCTGCCTCAGTTTCAGCGTCAGCCTGCCTCGGCCTCATCCTCAGCCAGCTTCAGCCTCAGCCTCAGTCTGCCTTCAGCCTCGGCCTCAGCCTCAGCCTGCCTCAGCCTCAGCCTGCATCAGCCTCAGCCTCAGCCTCAGCCTGCCTCAGCCTCAGCCTGCTGCGCTCTCGCATACTCCTGCGGCCTCAGCCTGCCTCGGCCCCAGCCTGCATCAGCCTCAGCCTCAGCCTCAGCCTGCCTCAGCCTCAGCCTGCTGCGCTCCCGCATACTCCTGCGGCCTCAGCCTGCCTCAGCCTCAGCCTGCATCAGCCTCAGCCTCAGCCTCAGCCTGCCTCAGCCTCAGCCTGCTGCGCTCCCGCATACTCCTGCGGCCTCAGCCCGCCTCGACCCCAGCCTGCATCAGCCTCAGCCTCAGCCTCAGGCCTCAGGCCTAGCCACAGCCCTCCGCAGCTGCAACTCCAGCATTCCTTCCCCGCGGAGCCTTCAGCCTGCCTCACCACATCCAGCATACACCAGCCACAGCCACAGCCTCAGCCTGCCTCAGCCTCAGCCTGCTGCGCTCCCGCATACTCCTGCGGCCTCAGCCTGCCTCAGCCTCAGCCTGCATCAGCCTCAGCCTCAGCCTCAGCCTCAGCCTGCCTCAGCCTTAGCCTGCTGCGCTCTCGCATACTCCCGCGGCCTCAGCCCAGCCTCAGCCTCAGCCTTCAGCCTCAGCCTCAGCCTGCCTCAGCCTCAGCCTCAGTCTGCCTTCAGCCTCGGCCTCAGCCTCAGCCAGCCTCAGCCTCAGCCTCAGCCTCAGCCTGCCTGAGCATCAGCCAGCTTCAGCGTCTGCCTCAGCCTGCCTCAGCGTCAGCCTCAGCCTCAGCGCCTCAGCCTCCGGGCACCCAAAATGTGGCCCGGGAGTGAGTGGAGTTCTGGGAACTCGAAGACCACGAAGTGGCCTACAGTTGGCTCCGGGCACCCAAAATGTGGCCCGGGAATGGAGTTCTGGGAACTCGAAGACCACGAAGTGGCCTACAGTTGGCTCCGGGCATCCAAAATGTGGCCCGGGAATGGAGTTCTGGAAACTCGAAGAGCACGAAATGGCCTACAGTTGGCTCCGGGCATCCAAAATATACGCCGGGAATGGAGTTCTGGGAAGTCGAAGAGCACGATGTGGCCTACAGTTGGCTCCGGGCATCCAAAATGTACGCCGGGAATGGAGTTCTAACAGCGCCAAGAGCGATTTTGCGAGGATGTCCCAGGCGATCTGGGCTTCGGCAGCCGCCCCGGGTCCCGCCCCGACCCCCCTGTGGAGTCATCTGCTGCTCTCTTTTGGCACCACTAGAAACCTATCAGTCTTCGCTGTTAGGTAATAATCCTTATATTTTCTAATATTTTCTGGGTTTCTGTCTTCCCCCCCACTTCCCATATTTTCCATATTTTCTTGGGGATCGACGATTAATTGTGTCTGTGTGTTTTTTCCCCTCCTGACAAAGGGCCAGTGCAATTCCTATGTCAGGGCTGCATGGTGACAGAGCGATGCCGCCAGGAACTGGCCGGCGAGCTCGGGGCGCGCCTCCAGATGCTCCCCCTTTGCCTCGCCCTGGGGCCAGTACGGAGCTCGCGCGGAAGCCGAGCACTGGCCCTCTCCCTTCCATGGGAGGTTCTCCGAGGACAGCGGGCAGCGGCCTCGTAGCTACGCGCTGCGCTGACTTGGGGCGGTTGGGAGGTCGGACGGGGTCCCTGTCCAGCTGGGGGTCTGACGTAGCCCCCCATCCAAGCCTTCCCACCTTAAGCGCGTCCTTGAGCCGGGCCGAGGTCCCCCGTCTGGAGCGCAGGGTGCGGAGACTGTCCCCTCTCCCCCGCTCCTCCATCCTTTCCCCCTCCCCATTTCCTCCTCTCAACCTTGGTGCTGTAATCTTGCTCCTCTCTCTACTCTCCCTCCCCTCCCTGCCTCTTATCTGCGGAGAAGAAATGGTTCTGGAGCACCTCCGCAACTATGCTCTGACGGGCCCGGCTCCCCCTGGATGCCGAGGCCGGCCCGAGGCTTCAACATGCCAGCCTAGTTGGGGGGCGTTGCCATCCATCCATCCATCCATCCATCCATCAAACCATCCATCCATCCATCAAACCATCCGGCCATATCATGTCGCTTCTCTTGCCCTTACTCCTCCCTTGCCTGCCTTCCTGGCTAAGCCTTGCCTGCCTCTTACTTACTTAATCCTTCGTACGACGATGGCAACGACGTTCGAGGGCAGGCTTCGCGTTGCCGCATTGACTGCGCGGCTGCCTGGACGCCGCGGCGGAGGAGGAGCGATCGAGGGGAGGAGGAAGAGGAAAAGAGAGGGAGGGGGGTGGCGGGAGCACGAGGAGGGTAAGGAGGAGGGGGGGATGAAGAGGGACATTGATGGGTGCTCCGCTGTGGGCGTCGCCACCAGGTGGGGCTGCTGCACGCGTGCACCAGCCCCGCGGGCCCCCCAGACCCCCGACGTCACGACGTCGACCCCTAGAGGTCTCGACCCCTTCCCCAGGACCAGCCTGTCATCCTGGGCCGTTGCTTGACAGTCCCCCGAGGCCGAAAGTAGCGAACAATTCTCTCGTCGTGATGGTCTCCTCCTCCTCCTCCTCCTCCTCCTCCTCCTCCTCCTCCTCCTCCTCCTCCTGACCTTCCTCGCTGCCATTCCACCGCCTCGTCCTCCTCTCCTGACCTCCGCCTGCTCCTCTTCCTCCTCCTCCTTCATCCTTCCTCCCGCCTCCTCCTCCTCCTCTCCTGCTCTCCCTGCTCCTCCTCCTCCTCTCCTCCCTCCTCCTCCTCCTCCTCCTCCTCCTCCTCCTCCTCCCCCTCCTCCTCCCCCTCCTCGTCCTCCTCTGTCCTTCATCGTCCTCCCCCCCCCTTTCCTCCTTCTCCTCCTCCCTCCCCCCCCTTCTCCTCATCCTGCTCCTGCTCCCCTCCGTTTTCTCCTCCTCCTCCTCCTCCTCCTCCCTCCCCCGTCCTGCCTCTCCTGACCTCCTCCTGACCCCCTCCTTCACCTCCTCCTCCTCCTCTGGATCTGCCCACAGCGCGAGGGGGTCTGGGTTCAGGCCCCAAGGCGCGGACACCGCCCGCCGCCCCGCCGCGCTGGCCCTGCGGTGTGGCTGGCGCTCGCCACGGGGCGGCACCGCCCCGAGAGGGGCCTCATGCCACGCGAGGTCGCAAAACATGCGGGCCGCGTCATCCCTGCGGCCCCGCGACTGCTGCGTGGTTGCCTCCTCCTCCCCCATTTCCTCTCTGGCTTCCTTCTCCTGCCTCTCCTGCCTCTCCTCTCTCCTGCCTCTTCCCTCCTCCTCCTCCTCCTCCTCCTCCTCCTCCTCCTCCTCCGCCTCCCTCCTTCCTCCTCCTCCTCTCCTCCTCCTTCCTCCTCCTCCTCTCATCCTCTCCCTCCCTGCCTGCCTGCCTGCCTCCTCCCTCCCTCCCTCCCTCCCTCCTCCCTTCTCTCCTCCTCCTCCTCCGCCTCCTCTTCCTTCTCCACCTCCTCCCTCCTCCTTCTTCTCCTCCTCCTCCTCTTTCTCCTCCTCCTCCTCCTCCTGGTCCTCCATCCTGTTGTCTTCGTCTGTCCTCTCTCACTGTCGCCCTCCTTCCGCCCCGCCCCTCATTGCACCGCTGCGGGCGGACTGACCCCTCGCGTTTGCGGGCACCAGACGGACGCAGCCTGGAGGGGCACACGGACGGCCCGGCCGAGCCCGCCCTGCTGCGATTCGCAGACCGAGACAGCACGACTGCTCCGTGCGAAAAGCCGGAGCTCGGGGCGGTCGATCTCCCGCCGCTCCTCCCGCATGCCCGCCTCCTCCCAGCCCTCGGCCGCCCTCGGTCGGCTTCGGCCGGGAAGCAGGCCCATGAGCCTCCCGATCTGCGACCTGCGCCTGCTTCCCGCGCGAAAAAGGTCGATTCCCCCGACATGAGTAACGGGCAGCAACTCCACCCCGATAGTAACCACCCCGACACGCGAGGCCGTTTAGCAAACGCGCCCAAAGAAGGAATCAAACTGAGCAGGGCTGTTGAATAAACGCCCAAGGCCGTTGAATGAACGCCAATTGTCCGGTCCTGGTGGTTTCTCATCCCTTGACGCATGCCACGCTGATATTTCCCGGGTGGCGGCTGGATAGGTTGCAGGGAGGATCTCCCTCCGTGACACGGCGCGCTGGTTCGCTCGCGCTGCCAGCGATGACCGCATCAACTTTCCCACGCAGGTAAAGCAAGAGTGGCAGGTTCCCCAAGCAAGCGCTCCTCCTCCTCCTCCTCCTCTTCCTCCTTCTCCTCCTCCGCTTCCCTATCCGCGTCCTCCTCCTCCTCCTGCTATTCCTCCTCCTCCTCCTCCTCCTCCTCCTCCTCCTCCTCCTCCTCCTCCCCCTCCTCCTCCTCCATTCCATCTCCTTGTATATAACTCCTCCCTGCCGCACCCCGAGGCTAGTTTTTAGGGCGGGCCGGGGCGTTTCGCCTGAGACTCCCTGACCATCTGTGAAACTGCAGCGTAAAAAGTGTCAACAGCTTCACAGATGGAGGGCGGGTCGTTTTCAAAACGTGGCTCTCGCCCTAGCGCCGCGCACATTCGTTTTAAACAACTGCAACAGTATCACGGATTGAGTGTGGGACATTTTGCAAAATGTGGCTCTCGCCTTAGCGCGGCGCACATTCGTTAAACAACTTGCAAGAGCTTCACGGGTTGAGGGCGGGTCGTTTTCAAACTGTGGCTCTTTCCTTAGCGCCGCGCACATTTGTGTTAAACAATTGCAGGAGTTTCACGGTTTGAGGGCGGGTCGTTTTCAAAATGTGGCTCTCGCCTGAGCGCCGCACACATTCGTTTTAAACAGTTGCAGCAATTTCACCGATTGAGGGCGTTTTCAAAATGTGGCTCTCGCGTTAGCGCCGCGCACATTCGTGCAATAAAATTGCCAGAACTTAGCGGATTGAGGCATTCGTTCAACTAATTTGCAGAACGGCTTCACGGTTTCCCATGATCAGCGCACCAGCAATGGTGTTCCGGAAGACTTCAGGATTATGCGGGCGCAACTGCTATGTTGATTCGCTGTGTTGGAGTCCCCAAAATGGAGTTATGGCACAGTCAGGTTAAGACGTGACGCTGAGATCCCGAGAACAATGTTGTGGCACGCTTCAAGATCTTCGAACTGCTATCTTGCAACGAGGCAGTTCCCTCAATGGAAATGAACCGTTGTAGGGGCCTGTGAGGGAGCTTGAAGGGAGGGTTCATTCCAACATCGTTGATGACTCTTGGGTTTCCGCTGGTCCTCCTCCTCCTCCTCCTCCTCCTCCAAAGCGGTCTCAGGAGCCAGGGCCTTGACGCTAAGCCTCGCCTGAATCGTGGGGACACCCGCTCTGTTCTGCTTGCTGCGCCTGACCTGAAGACCCTGCAGCGCAACCCCGGAAAGAAGAGAGGGGGCAAGAACGGACGGGGAGAGGAGTGGCAGGAGAGTTTGACGCAAGCACTAGAACAAAACAAACCTGCATAGCTGCAAACATAAACTTGTGGCGCTCCGCGCGGTTTTTTTTGGATCTGCGCTGGACCCCCCTCCCTGGCGCGCGGAACGGGCCAGGGGCGGCGTCGGAGGCGCCGCTAGGGGAGCCCATCGCGGATCCAGGAAACCCGCGCGGAGCGCTAAAAGTTTCTGTGTATGCAGTTGTTTCTTCTTCGAGGCACGGAAAAAGAAAAGGTAGGCGCAAGAGGAGGGGGAGGGAGGGATGGAAAAAGGGGCAGACGAAGGGAGGGGAGGGAGGCAGAGGGGGACGGGTTGTATTCCAGGGGCAGGGAAACACTTGCAGGAAACCGACGGGGGGGATGATGGAGGGGGCACTAGGGGAAACTGCAATATCCGAGAAGACAGAGCGGAGCGCAAACTTAGCCTGGCGAAGGACCCAACCATATGCAGATGTGAGTCACGCAGTTGTGAATATCGTCTTCGGTGGAACTTCCTATGGGGACACGAAACGTGTGAGGGGTGTGCCGACATGGGTGGCGGGAAGGCTGGCGAACTGTGCCACTGGGACCTTCGGCGGAGCTCCTATGGGGCCACGAGACGTGTGAGGGGTGTGCCGACAAGAGTGGCGGGGAGGCATACGAACTGTGCCACTGGGACCTTCGGCGGGGCTGCTATAGGGTTGACGAAACGTGCGAGGGGTATGCCGACATGAGTGACGTGTGAGCTGTGCCACTGGGGCCTTCGGCGGAGCTACTATAGGGCCATGAATCGAGGGAGGAGCGGGGGCGCGTGCGAACTGTGCCATAGGGATGTTCGGCGGAGCTCCTATGGGGCCACGAAGCGTGTGAGGGGTGTGCCGACATGAATGGCGGGGCGCGTGCGAACTGTGCCACTGGGCCTTCGGCAATGCTCATCTGGAGGCCACGAAACGTGTGAGGGGTGTGTCGACATGAGTGGCGGGGACGCATACGAACTGTGCCACTGGGACATTCGGCGGAGCTCCTATGGGGCTACGTAGCGTGTGAGGGGCATGCCGACATGAATGTCGGGGGCGCATACGAACTATGCCACTGGGACCTTCGGCGGAGCTCCTATGGGGCCACGAAGCGTGTGAGGGATGTGCCGACATGAGTGGCGGGGACGCATACAAACTGTGCCACGGGGACCTTCGGCGAAGCTCCAATGGGGACACGAAACGTGTGAGGGGTTTGCCGAAATCAATGTCGGGGATGCATGCGGACTGTGCCACTGGGACCTTATTTGGAGCTCCTACGGGGCCACGAAACGTGTGAGGGGTGTGCCGACAGGAGTGGCGGGGCGCGTACGAACTGTGCCACTGGGACCTCCAGCGGAGCTCCTATGGGGCCACGAAACGTGTGAGGGGTGCTCCGAAATGACTAACGGGGATGCATGCGGACTGTGCCATAGGGACTTTCGGCGGAGCTCTTACGGGGCCACGAAACGTGTGAGGGGTGTGCCGACATCAGTGGCGGGGACACATACGAGCTGTGCCACTGGGACCTTCGGCGGAGCTCCTATGGGGCTACGTAGCGTGTGAGGGGGATGCCGAAATGAATGTCGGCGACGCATGCGAACTGTGCCACTGGGACCTGCGGCGGTGCTCCTATGGGGGCCACGAAACGTGTGAGGGGTGTGCCGACATGACTGGCGGGATCCATGCGAACTGTGCCACTGGGACTTTCGGCGGGGCTCCTATGGGGCCACGAAACGTGTGAGGGGTGTGTCGACATGAGTGGCGGGGACGCAGGCGAACTGTGCCACGGGGACCTTCGGCGGAACTCCTGTGGAGGAGGGAGGAGGGGGAGGAGGAAGGAGGGGGGAAGAAGAACGCGGGGCGCTGTCTCTTCAAAACCAAGACCCAACACCACAGGATGGTTGGGAACAAGACCTCGTGGAAAATTACGTCACCCACGCCGAAGAATCCAAAAGAACTTGTATCAGGCTCGCCTGATGCGCCACTAAGGCGCCGTCGAAGGCATTTGCCTGTCAATCGAGGCATTGTTCTGATGGCATGACCTGCGCGCCACTGTTTCGAAATCTGCCCATGGAATTGGCAAGTTGAGCCTGAACATCGCACAACATCTGCTTCTCGGCAGCGGCTTTTAGCGTACGGCCCCCGATGGTGGCCAAATCCCGAGTGAACGCTGAGCTGCGGCACTGGCCTCAGTCCGGGACCCCAATCCGCGGACGGAGGAGCCGTGCCCTTCGCCTGCGCTGCCTGGACCCATTGGAGCAACGACTGGGCTCTCACAGGGAGGTGCGCCCATCCAGGGGGGCTACAGGGGCCCAGGGACACACAAATCCCAGGATCCCCCAGATTCCCCTATATTTTTGAATATTTTCTGGGTTTTCGTCTTCCCCCCGCTGTCTATATGTTCCTATATTTTCTGGGGAATCGTCGATAAATTGTGTCTGTGCGTTCTTTCCCCTCATGGGGAGGTGGCGATCGTGGCCTTTTTGAGGGGCGCCCGAACAGGGCAAGCGCGCAAAGTTTCCCAGCGGTGGGGTACCCCGAACGATCCCGCGGGGCAACTGTTCGAAGCCGGTGGTGTCTCAAACCACCCCCAGGGGCAGCTGACTGAGGCTGGGGGGGGCCCCAAACCACCCTCCTGGGAGAACATTGTGGGAAATTGATGGGAAGATAGGGGAACATAGTGGGAAGGTGGGAACATAAGGGAATATCAAAGAAACTAGTGGGAACATAGCTGCCCAGAACTATTCAAAAACCGCTGGCGCTTCAAAGGTCTAAGGGAGCGTCGGGGAACATCGTGGGAGCATGGGGGTAGCATCGAATAAGATAGTGGCAACAACACGGAAACGCAAGGAACACAGGGAAACATCGCTGCCCCAGGGGGTGGCTTTGGGCACCATCTCCGCCTCGATCGGCTGTCCCAGGGGGTGGCTTTGGGCGCCCGGGGCCTCTATCGGCTGCTCTGGGTGCCCCCAGCCTCGATCCGCCGCCCCCGGGAGGAGCTTTCCCGCAGGATGTCTTCGCGTACAGTACAGGCCCCCTGTGGGCGCCAACCACTGGCAAAACCGCATCACGCAGCTGCCTGGACAGCTCGAGCATCGCTTCTGCATGGGGACTGCTGGGGCGCGCGCAGCGTCAAGAGTTGCGAATCTGCTCCTGCGTCCGGCATTGTCCTCCGTCCTTTCCCGCTGTCCCTGATATTCGCGGCCGTTCTGAGGTTTCCCCACGTCCCCTGCGCAACTCCCGTCATTTTCCCCCCTTATTACCCCACTGCCGTTCCTCGCGATTCGAAGCCCCAATACGTTCTTTCTCAGCACGACTCCAACCTTGGAACCGCGGGCTCTGTGCCTACAGCAGTAACCTGCGCAGCGGAAGCACAACGCATAAAAGACAAGCTGTGAGCACGCACGCAGGCTCCAAACGCACGGATCGATCAAACACACTAAATGCACACTTGACCTCTCAACCTCCCCCCGCCGCCGCATCTCTCCGACATGCTGCTCGGTATACGCGGGAGGGGCCGCCTGAGACGACCACGGCGGCAACGGCAACTTCGAAATAAGGGCCACGGACGACGACCGACAACGACGGCGACGACTGCCGTCCGACAACGACGCCTGGCGCGCAGACGCGGCTCCTTCGGCCGCTCCCTGCTCGGCGCGCGGGGCGCGCCCGGCGCCGCGTCGGCGCCCAGCGGCCCCAGCTGTCGCAGCCGCTGCGCCGCCTGCTCCGCGAAGAGCTGCGCGCCGTCGTCGGCCGCCTGCGCCGCCTGCGCCGCCTGCGCCGCGACAATCGCCGCGCCCCAGGCGTTGGGAGCCGCGCCCTCGTCTGCCGGCCGCGGCGCTTCCGGCGCGGCCTGCGCCGCCGTGGCCGCGGCGTCGAGTTCCTGCTGCTGCCGGCGCCACATTTCCTATACGGGGCCCAGAAAAAATAAATACACCACCACCACCTCCCCTTCACCCTCACCCCCCCCCCTCCTTTTCCTTTTCCTCCTCCTCCTCCTCCTCGTCCTTGTCCTCCTCCTCGTCCCCCTCCTCCTCCTCCTCCTCCTCCTCCTCCTCCTCCTCCTCCTCCTCCTCCTCCTCCTCCTCCCCTTCCTCGTCCTCGTCCTCCTCCTTCTCCTACTCCTCCTCCTCCTCATCCTTGTCCTCCTCCTCGTCCCCCTCCTCCTCCTCCACCTCCACTCCTCCTCCTCCTCTCCTCCTCCTCCTCCTTCCTCCTCTGCTGTCTTCCTTCCTCCTTCTACCCTTCAGCCAGCCTCCTCTTCCCCATTTTCCTCCTCCTCTTTCCTCCTCCCTTAACTCCTCCTCCGCCTCTTCTTCCTCCCTCCTCCTCCTTCCTCCTTCTCCCTCCTCCTCCTCCGAGTCCTCTCCCTGCTCCTCCTCCTCTCCCCTCCCCTTCTCCTTCCTCTCCTCCTCCCTCCTTCCTCCTCTCATCCTCCTCCTCATCGCCCTCCTCCTCCTCCTTCCTCCTCCTTACCCCTCCTCCTCCGCCTCCTCCTGCCCCTCCTCCTCCTCCTCCCCTCCTCTCCTCCTCTCCTACCCTCCCTCCTCCCCTCCCTCCTCCCCTCCTCCTCCTCTCCTTTCCTCCTCCTCCTCCTCCTCCTCCTCCTCCTCGTTCCTCCTCCTCTCAGTCCTCCTCCTCTCGTTCCTCTCCTCCTCCTCATCAATCCCTCCTCCTCATCCTCCGCCTCCACCTCCTCCTCCCTCCCTTCCTCATCCTCCTCCCCCCCCCTCATCCTCCTCATTAGCATCAGCAAATCCAGCATCAAGAAGCATCAGCATCAGGCAATCAGCATTCAGCATCAACAACAGCTATCAGCATTCAGCATCAGATCATCCTCATCATCAGCACTCATCAGCATCATCACCATCATTCATCATCATCATCATCATCATCATCATCATCATCATCATCATCATCATCATCATCATCATCATCATCATCATCATCAGCATCATCATCACCATCATCATCATCGTCATCATCATCATCATCATCATCATCAACATCATACCCATCATCATCATCATCAGCATCATCATCATCAGCATCATCAGCATCAGCAACAGCAGCATCATCATCATCATCACTATCATCAGCATCAGCACCACCATCATCATCATCATCATCATCATCATCATCATCATCATCATCATCATCATTGTCGTCGTCATCATCATCATCAGCATCATCAGCATCATCGGCATCATCATCATCAGCATCGTCATCATCAGCATCAGCATCAGCA